ATTTATACACGGAAAGGGTTGGAAAAGTTTCCCTAGAATAAATAAAGTGTAAATTAGGATCTAAGGAATACAGAGATCACAACCAATTGTGTTGTCAGAGAAGGCTGGTGATGCAAAAAGCACATAATAGGCATTGAAGAAGGTGCAAGACTACAAGATGCAGCACAGGGCTAGAGACACACCAGTTGGTTGGAGTTTAGTGTGTGGAAGACAGTAAATAGAAAATGAAAAGAAGCCAGATAATTATGTGCTTTGTAAACTTGCTAAGGAACTAAGTTCCTATCCTAAAGCAAATGAGATGGAGTCATTTTGGAGCACGTTATATTACTACGGTAGCAGTGCAGAGAATAATAGGGGCAAAGCTGGGAAAATGAAACATTAGATGGTTAGTATAAAACCCTGAACAGATTTGATATTGGTGTGAACAAAGATAGTAGTGAAGGAAATAGAAAGATATACAGGAGGTAAAATAGAGGTTAAGATGTTCTTGGAGATGTAGAATACATCCCTAAGATTTAACGTATTCTTGCCACACAGGAGATCAATGAATATTTAGTAAATGAAAATTTAATTCCTTATAGCTGAACATCCACATCATAAGATTGAGAACACAGACGCAAAGTGGCATTGGGTAAAATAGGACATCATAATCATTAGGTTAAAAAAAGTTAAAATTAAGTAAGAATATTATTTATATTAAATAATCTTAAAAGTTCCATTTATCAGAGATTTGGCATAAATTCTCAAATGAATTGCTAATTGCACCTTAATACACCATAATTTCAAAGTACATAGTCAAGAAAATAGTTTCTGAAAACTATCCCAGATTTTTTTTCACTTATCAAATTATTTCTTCTTTATGACAATAGTAAGAAGAAGAATTAAGCAATTTACATTAGATAAATATGGTTTGGTCTCTTTCAAAATGTCCTTTAAAATTATCCAATTGTGGTTCACAGAAACAAATTATTTGGCCATATTTAAAATCATTCTGATTTTTTAAAATTAGCCACACATTCTAGTAATTCTAGTAATATACAACATCTATCAAGCTTTCATTAAGTGCTTAGCATATCATGTTTCATTTATTATAATATTTAAAAAAATATTGTGAGAATTGTTCTGTTAGTCATCCGAACTTAGAGATGAGAAGTCAGAGGTTTATAGACGGTAGTGTCTTTTCTAAATACAGCCAGTAGGTGGTGGAGCCAGGAATTAAGCTCAAACTTCTTTGATTCCAAAGTTTTTTTTAACTACTAACAACTATTCTAAAATATACACTGTATGTCTTCAGAAGAATTAAGTGATTTACATTAAAAATTTGATATCACTTAACATTTCTTTTTAGTATGTGCCAGCATTTTGTTTAATAACTGTACAAAAGGACATGTGTCTTCTATGATATCATCTTTTCTAGTGGGACAGAGTATTAGTACATGCAGTAAAGTCAAAGACTGCAGATAGGCCAAATCTAGAGAGAGAATTTGTGAAAATTAGAAAACCTGAGTCATGGGTTACAGAGAAACAAATTTATTTAGCATCATTTTGTAAAAGATATGACTCACTTCAAAAATGTAGGGGTTCTCAAAAGAAGCCATACTATCTACAGGCAATAGCTGAGTTATTTTTAATCCTGTAATCCATAAGTATTCATTCTCATAGTCTTTATATTTCAGGAAGAAAAGAATGTTCTTGTTGCTTGGCAACATTTTGCATATCGTTTAGCCCTGGTGTGAGATTTCAGTTCTAGTACATCAAATTCTCAGATTCCAAGGTTTTGACTCCTCCTTTAATGTTTTTCAATAAAATACCGGGACTTTCATCTATTTTATCATCTAATATCATTCAGAACACAGTGGCGATGCTATACAGCTTTCTATTGTTTACATAAAATAACACTGGAGCGCTATCGTCTCCTTAATTTTGAATTATTTTTTGCCAGTCATGGCTTTACATTTGTCTCTGAAGAGGATGTGTGTGGAGTGTAATGGATATGGAAAAAAAGAAGAAGAACTCCTCCTGAAGACAAGATACATTGAGCTCAATGAACAAAGTCAAGCACCGTCTTTGGAAATGAAATTATTCATTGTTGTTGAACAATATAACTAACTCTGCTATGTGTCTGCAATACTGAGGACTTACCACCTCTAATGCCAAATATCTTGAGCCAGCTCTCCTTGCTTGTACTAGCAACACTATAACATTCTTTAAAATAATTTTCTGGAATGAAGCATTCCAGAGCAATTACTTAACAGCAGGGTCTTGTTAAATTAGTAAAAACAAGAAGGAAATTCCTTTAGAAGTCAGTGCCTTCAGGGTGCTTTCTAGAGTGTTTGTATGTGTGGCTGTTAATTAAAAAGTAAAAGAATGGTATAAAATGTAAATAGACTACACACTAGTCCCTGGTTCATTATAGAGTTTCAAAATGAGTATGCATTTGTTTGAATTCCAAATTGCTAGAATTTTTTTTTTAATTTCATACTGTAGCTGGTATAACTATATGTTTTAACAAGCCAAAACATGAAGTTGAAATTAGAACCTTTTAAGGTTACACTAAAATACCTGAAGAAAAAACAACATTTGATGTATCCTTGTAAGTTCTAGTTTTGTTTTTTTTTTTTTTTTTCCTGATTTCAACACATGATAAAGTTAGCAGCCTAAGGTAACTGTCAACTTAGTGATTATCACTGTGTGGTTTTCATTGTGACTAGTACACATTCCAGAAGTTTTCAATTCTAAAGAGAGAATGTATGTGCTGTTGGAAACAGAAAGTTTCTTCATATCAATTTTCTCCAGGTGCTAAAGGCACCCTTGTGTGTGAGATAGAAAACAAGAGATGAAAGAGTAAGAAGAAAAAAATCAGTAACAAAGAAAAGTAAAGGTAGGCAAAATTACACAGCAGAGAGCAACTGAACTAAAAAGAAAAATAAAAGAACAGAAAAATGAAAAGACAAAAAGAAGAAAATAAGCTTAAAAATGACATGAGGAGAAAAAAATTTACTTTGAAATTGATTTTTCAAAGATGAACTTTGCTCATAATATATTTGAGCTTTAAAACAAGATATTTTAGTCTTCTTGAAATCAAAAATAAAATTAAAACCCTGAAATATTTTTGAAACAGAAATTAACACTTCTTGTGTCAAATCATTGTTAGGTACTTTTTTGTGTTATTTCACAAACTCAACTTCAATAATCCCTTGGATATTGCAGTAATTGAAACATCACATATTTACTCCCTGCAGTTGTTGACACTAACACTGTGCATTTAGCAATTTCGACAGCTGATTTTTTGAAAAAATCAAAAAAAAAACATTTTGTAAGAAAGTTGGTCTTTAATAATTCTAAGTATTCAATTAGGAAAAATTGAACCATTACAATTAATATAGTCTATTATAGTATCATACTGAACATAATGTTTTGCTCATATTTGGTTTTTTGATAAATTTTGATTAAATAATAATGATTTTCCAATTAAATATAAAATATACATCCAATCTTTAATCTAGCTATATGATAAATTAGCTTCAAAAATAATTATTTTTTTAAATAATTAATTTTTTAATGATATGAATTTGACTAATCAAATTTATCTTATTCTTTGAAAATTTGGTGTCCTCTGGAACTACATGGGAAAAAGCTGATTTAGTTTAATATGAATTTTTACAAAGAAAATTCTATGATTTGACAAAATCACTGTTTTAAGTCACATAAAACCCAGTTCTGTGATTGTCGATTTTTTTTCTTTTGTCTCCAACTAAATTATAATGTCCCCGAAATGAGATCTAGACCTTATTTGCTGTAGACTTATTTGCTATATACCCAATGTATAGTACAATTTCTGCCACTCAATTGGCAGTTGATGAATAGCTTGAAGCAATTTTTTTTTTTTTATTTCAGCAAATTATGGGTGTACAGATGTTTAGGTTACGTGTGTTGCCCTTGGTTCCCCCCGCCAGAAGTCCGTGTTTCAAATATGTCCATCCTTCGGGTAGTGCGCATTGCACTCCTTGTGTATACAAATACCCGTCCCCTCCTCCCTCCTCCCCCTCCTCCCGCCGCCCTCCCCGTGGTAGAGGTGTTTAGGTTACGTGTGTTAAGCAATTTTCTTAAGCAATTATTTAAAAAAAAAAAAAAAACCTACCACTTCCACTGCCAATTTGAACTGCCAATTGCATTTGTAGGAATACTGAACGAGAATATCCATGTTTAAAAATCTGCCTAACCTGCAAAGAATGTACAAATGTGTGGCAAAATATAGAAGGAATTATAAAGTGATAATGAATCCTAAAGTGAAATCTCCCCGTCTGATCTACTTTGGCCCAGTGAGATGAGCTGGAATAAGGAGAAGAGAGGAAAAGTAAAGAGCAGGGCAAGGCACTCTATACAACAGGAATTCAGTACAGGCGCATTTTCCATTTAAGTGTTGCACAGGCTATCCCTGTGGAAACCACCGTGAGTTCAACAGGATAGCCCATTTTCAGACTCTGTGCCTCACAGAATATTAGCTGGATGAATGCACAGACAATAAGAACTATTTCTCCTTTTTTTCCCCCCCTTTATGCCCCATTTTTCCCCATTTCTTTCAACAGAAAGAAATACGTGCTTGGGAAATCTTCTTACATGTAGTTATCCTATTCTTCTGGAATAGCCAAGCATTGCAGAATCTGAACCTACCACTATTCAATTTTCAATAAATATATTATTTTTTCATTCAAAGATAAAACATCATGGGAAAAAAGATGTTACCTTTGGGCGGAGTTTCCTCAGATGAGAATAGAATACTTGTAAAGCAAAAACTCCTTGGCATTTTCAAGTATTAACATGATTTGTCTTGGCGGACACATATTTAGTTGTACACCTCTCCTCCCGCTGAGGTATGTGTTACTAATTACTCTGCACACGTAATGGCATTGTTACCGTCTTACATTCACGAATAGAGAAAGATTCGTTTGTAACCTATCATTTTAATACATAAATTTTAGGTAGCCAGTAAGACTTACCTTGAAAAAAGTCATGGTTGCGCCATCCTCTACCGCTCCATACTCTATCTTGGTTTGTTTAGCTAAATCATCAGCAGAGTCAATAGGAGATTCCATGCGTTCCACTGTCAGAAAGGCGGCTAAGTTAGCAGTGTACGAAGAAATGATGATAAGTGTGAAAAACCACCAAATGCCTCCCACTATCCTGGTGGAGAGCGCTTTGGGCATGAGCTCAGAACCTAACAGAGAGTGGGGGAAAGGTGAAACGAATACAGAGAATTTGATCAGCAATCAGATACGTTTGGTCATAGTGGCAGAATGGAATCACTGTAATAAAAGCTTAAATTATTGTTTTAGTAAGCAAGCAACAACCATTGGGAGAGCAGAGGCTAATTTCAGGAAATAGACAATCTCTTAGAATGCTCTTGTTTAAATATAGTGACAGGAGACTCAAGTTCTACTTGAGATGGTGCAAAGCACAAATTAAAATATTAATTTTATAAAATCCTTTATAAAAATAGTATTAGAAGAAATTTTTAAAAACTCTCCAGTTTATAAACCACATGTATATTTTGTCATAATTTTGTTAGTTATGTGGATTTCAGAGGAAACGTTTTAACATACATTCAGATCCATTTCTTAACAAACTTTATATAGAGTTTTGTTTTTCATGTGCATATATAGCTCATATATTCAGTCTGTCTTGTAATTAAAAAAATTAACGTTATATAATAAAATAATGTCAGTTATCCAGATTTCTTGAAATGATGTGGAGTTTTATCCCAGTGTTTATTTTGAAATAAGATAGTAAATTTCTTTCTTATGAATAAGCAAGTATCTCCCATCACTATGGTTAGCCTCAATGAGGAAAATTAGAATAAGAATAGATAGCTAAATTGCCATATTTATTTTTGTACATATATAAATATTTCATAAATACATCACAGTGTACAGCTGGAGTTGCCTGCCCATGGTATTAATAAGAGAATGGGATCTGAGAATTACCTTTTACTTTTGGTTATTATTGATTTTAATTCACTTAGACTATAAAATAAAATCTTAACAATTTAAAAATTTGGTCAGTTATTTAAATTTTAATTATAATTTTACAACATTATTTACAGTCTTAATGTTTAAATGAAGATATACCAGTATGTGTAATTTTTATAAATATACTAAATTTCTGGATATGTAGATAACATATTATTAACTTTAATCATTTTGAATCTATCAAAAAAGTATTTTTAAAAGGGTTTGAATAAAATGGAATGAAGCAAAGATGGACTTACAGCCAAGTCTTTAATATAATCACTGATGCAGTAAGGTAACACATCTTTAGATGGAATAAAAAATAAAACAAATTATTCATGTGAACCTTGAAAAAGAAGTGATATCACGACTGCACTATATCAAAATAGCCCATCTTACACTGCGGTTCATCTTACCCTTGCAATTTCAAACAAAATTTTAAAAACAGACAGACTTGGACATGACAGCCAACTCCAGCTCCAGATTCTGCCTACCACTCTGTAAGGAAAAAAATGGAAAAGTACCTTTCTGATGTAGTTGCTCCTAGGCCCTGTCAGACACACACTCGGACACTGAAACACTAAAATACTCCCAAGATGATCAGCAGCTTTGGCTGACTATTTTACTTTTTTTTTTTTTTAAACAACAACAACAATAAAGTCAAACAAGACTGGGAAAGAAAAGAATAGTGGAAACATTTGACAAAAATGGCCCAATTACCACAAGTTCATATTTTACCCAAGGACTTAAAGCGAGTACCTCCTAGTCTTGTGAATCAGAGCCTGGTTAGGGGCTGACTGTCATGTACTCAAGGTAACGTCATGTCCAGCACTACATCCCACTAATTCCTGGGGAGCTGGGCATCAGCCAGAATAGTATGGGTTCCTCTTTCATGTATCCACCAGCAGTGACGCAGTTATGTGGCAAAGCAAATGCATATTTGAATTTCTCATTGCTTGGATTACTTGTTATCATCTTCAGAGATATCACAGATAGTCTAATTTCTAATTGCTAAATATTATTGTTATCGAATCTGTCCTATGAGTATACAAATTCTCAAAGACCTCCAAGTATTTTAGAAAATATAGGAGAAGAAAAGAATATTTTATTTTTTAAAGTGGTGTCAAAATGTAAAAAAAAAAAAAAAAAAAAAAAAAAAAAAAAATCTTCGTTA